GACTGGAGTAACGATGCTGAAAATTCAGCTTTGCTTCACAGGAATAAATTATATTTTAAAGTATATTAAAATAGTAAACTGTTATTTTAAATTGCAATAATTTTTTACAAAATTACATTTTTTTCTGTATTTTTTTAACAAATAAATACAGCCTTGATGAGCATCTTCTTAAAAAATCTTACTGATCTCAAACTTTTGAACAGCAGTGTACATAAACACCCATATACTGTATATACACACACATATACTGTATATACACACATATATATGATTACATGTGTAATATTTAAGCTATTTTTACATTACTAATAGTGCACTTTGAAATATCTTCCATATTTCTTAATTTTATAAGAGAAATTAAGAAAAGTAATGCATGATGGTACCTGCATCCTTCATGAGCATCTGCACGGGGTCCTCCACATTACTGGGGCCTGAGAGAGAGAAAGCAGGCACTATGATTTTTACAATTTAACATTTTTCATTCCCTCACAATCTGCACACAATGTGCTTTAGGCCTGTTGGGAACATCTAGCACTTTCACACATCTGTAATAACTGTGACCTAACCACTTTGCAAACAAGCACTTTGCAAACAGTAGTAAAAGTGGCAGAGCGTGTAATAAAATCACATAAGCAACTAAAACGTTTGTCCCATTTCCCTTAACCAATCACAATTAGCCATCCCAAAGCGACAATGAGGGGGCGACGCTCCTTATTGTCCATGTATAATTAGAACACAGGAAACGCTCAAGAGAAAAAGAGAATGACACTACTAGGAAATTAACTGAGGGGTCATTATCAGAATTATCATCTAAATGTGTACTTTTATAATGATGTTGACTTCATAATATAATGACACATGATTTGCAAAAAATAGCACTTGCGGGGTTGCTGTCATCATTTTAATAAAACAAGGTCATTTAAATGTACTACACCCAAATTCCAAGCCAAAACACTCAAAGATCCTTATGAATGTCCATAAGAATATTTGTTTAGCACATTGTCCTAATTTAATCATCATAGCACATTTTAATCAACTCATTTACACAGAATGCTCATTTGAGTCATTCACTAATTAATTAGCGAGCCAGATCAAAAGCAATGAGAGCGTAAACACTTGTCAGACGGTCCTTGTATTTGGCTGAAAGTGCGTGCTTAATTGCTACACGCAGCTCTAAGCGGAGCAGTAACGGTGGAGCTGTTTTAGCTTAGCGGGGTGTGCTTTATAAAGGTGACATTTGCTCTGAAAGGCTACAATCAAAAAGTCCACATCTAAAGTAAAACCCTAGATGACTTTGTCAGTTTTTCCTCACAAAAAAGGTAGAGAAAATCCCTCATTTGGAAACAAAAAGAGCTTTGAAGAACTGATGGCAAGGCATGTGTTTTCAAAATGTCTTTTCAAAATATTTGACGAAAGAAGCTAACATGTTAATTACTATAGATAAAAAGGGACCTGAAGTATGAAATTTCAGATTAAAAAAAGAATATTTTTTTCAGCGTTTTCTTAACTACTCCTGCTCCAGATGTGACATTTCTTCCATTATCACAACATAATGACAGTTCATTTAACCAGTGAGTTTCATTTGATCAGCGAGTCTTTAATCAGCACATTAAAAGCTTTGACTTGTATAATTCATTCACTGTGTCCTTGAATGCCAGGAGTCAAGCATGAACATGCTCACTTTTTCGATTTAATAAAGCATAATGAATCCATCCTTGCAGGAAAAAAGCAACAACTTAAACCAGGAAAAACCAAGTCATAGCTGGTTTAAGCTGGTCAAAGCCACTCTACAATCTTTAAAACAGAACAGCCTAACCAGCTTGGCAATAACCCTGTTTAAGCGGTTTGCCCAGCAGGGAATTAGTTATGGTTGAAGAAACACACTAACCATTTTTATTAAAAAAATTGAAGAAAATAATGACCAAATGACTAAATAAAATTTATATCCAAGTCAAATGTAAACAAGAACTGTTTATAGAAAATCATGGTTAATGATTCACAAACAATAAATAAATAAAGTGTCACCACAAACTAGCCTTATATTTTATAATATACTTGTGTCAAATAATTCTTAAAGAACTGATTTAATTTGATAGATAGAGTAGTATTTATCAACACATCAAATAAAACCAACCTTGAAGATTCTGCACCATCTCTAGAAGTACCGGTGTCAAAGTTTGACTGTAGTTGTGGAAAATGTCCAAGAAAAGCACTTCTGTGCACGGCTGTAAACATATTGATTAAAACAAAGAGAACACGATGTGACAAGGGCATGAGGAAGCATTCAATACAGGAACAATATTTAAACACAAACATTTACCCACCAACATAAACATGAAAAGAAAACCATCGGGTTTTCCATGGTATCCATCACTCTTGCCAACACAATCAATAGTTTGCACTGAAGGAGGGGTCAGGGTGCGAGACCTTCAGCATCTATTACTACAGGCTGGGACACTGACTTCCCAAGGTCAAATATCACAAGTGTGCCAAGCTCAACAATCACCACACATGTCAAATCATATGTTCTATGCCTTCAGAAAATCTGACATAATCAATACAGTTCAGAACTAAATCAATAAGGGCAGGTACCTGGACTGGCTATGGATGATCGCAAGAGAAAAGACTTCATTCTGGACCGGAGGTTCGGAAGACTTCAAAGATTTAGCTTCTATCAAATAGGGTTGCATGATCAATCAAAACCAAAACTGCGGTATGGCTTAGTGCGATTATTAAAATGGAAAGGTTGCGATTTAATTAATTCAATATACGCACTGAATGATTCAGAGTGAGGCACAGCATAGCAGCTGATAATCGAGTGTTTTCTGTGCCTTGGAGCAGCTCGGGTCACAGTAAATGCTGCTCTACAACAACTCATCTCTACATCTGCTCTGTGTTTGGGTCGCTTAGAATTGCATTAGAGGATGCAACAAGCGCCAACCATCTTTCCAATCTCGTAATGAGAAACACTTATAAACCAATTGTTGTCAACAAAAGAGAACCTTTGGGACCCCCATGCATTTTTCCGCCAAAATAAAAGCCTGACAGCATAAAATTTAAAAAATGAAAACTTTTAAAAAGCCACAAATATTAGTATTACAATTTTACAGTTGTAATACCAGATAAATACATTATTATTATTATTACAATTCACTTATAGGCACCTTTCAGGACACTTAAGGACATCATCACTATTGTTTATTTGTACTGTTTATTATTGTTTGTTTATTTATTTATACTGCCAAAATATTGCAATTTGATTGGACGCAATCTTACAGAGCTCTTGAAATGAACGTCAAAAGAGTTTTCTTTCTTTTTTTTTTTTTAAATGAAGCCTTTGCATAGGTTGAGTTGAGATCCACTTCTTTGGCTGCTGTGCAACATTCACACTGCTTATAAATACTTGCACTCAGAGGACAAGCAAGACTACTTAAGCCCAATACATAATTAAGACATTCCCTTTCGAAATTACCTGAAGGTAAAATGATTCCACAGCGGCATCTTTCACTGAGTAAATGACAAATGTGATGTAAAATGCTACTCTTGCTTGAGGTTATAAGTTTAGTCAATCAATGTCATTTTAAAGCCAGGACATAAAAGCCACATTAAGTAGGCAGCCAGATGTAATGCAAATCAAGTCACATGAGGGCAGTAACAAATGACCCTGTAGAGTCACGGCCCCCCTATGTAAATTCCACAGAAATGAGACAGACCCCTGATTCCTTTTAACTCAGTCACTTTGCATTTACTGACACTTCCGTTGACCTTGGAATACATCTCTGTGTAAGGTGGTGTACCAAAAGACGAGCAAATGGAAATGTTCCATATGCAAAAAAGCACCTTTAAACATTATAATAATTATAAAATCAGTCAAACTGTATTTCATGGAAAGAGAGGCCACTTACCCGCAAACTATACTTCCAGGAGTCACCGCCTGTCTCTTCCACAGCTGAAGAAAGAATGTTAAACACAACTTGTCACAACATATATCATGCCGTTTTAAAGTGACAGTTCACCCAAAACTAAAAATTCAGCCAGTTATTTATCTTCATGTCATTACAAACCATACGGCTTTGTTGAAGAATGTCCTGTCCACTCTTTTTAATATAATGGGACTGAAGGAGGACTAAGGCTGTCGAGCTTCAAAAAGCAAAATCATCATACTCGTGCAAAATATTCCAATACTTTGTGACAAACAGAGAAAGATTTTAGTCATCATTCACTGAAAATCTTTAACTCCAGTTGGCTGGTAACATTGCAAGTTTGCAACTGAATCATTGAGTCAAGTGAGCTGAATTTCTCCACTTTTATGATTCTTTTACAGTGCTCCGTTGTTATTTTGGAGCTTGACAGTCATAGTCCCATTTCATTTTCATTATATTGACAAGAGAGAAAAGGATATTCTTCAAAAACTATCTTTTATGTTCTATGTAAGAAAAAAAGGCTGAGCAAAGAAATGAGGGTCACTAAATAACCATTCTTTTAACCTTCACAACTTCTATCATTCAGGCAGCCTCTCTCAGAAACCATATACTGGTTGTTTCACCTGACAGATGTGGCAGATTTCTCTCTACCCATGATCCAATCAAAGAGTAGGTCGTTAAAAGTGATGTCAACCTCCTCTATCATCTCTAGTCACCTTATATTCCTAAGGGTTGGTTATCAACAGGCCAGAACAATCAGGTCTGCTGCTGAGTCACTAAATTAATCGCAATTATACAGCCTTGACAGCAGGACCGCTGGACGAATCACTGGCATTCCCAACACCAGAAACAAATCACTGGACCATGGCAATATGGATTAGAAAATGACACCAGCAAAGTACACAAAGGGATTTTAAATTACTGTACTTTGCTAAACCCATTTCCTTGAAAGGAATTACATGTGTTAAATTACTGCAGCAGGTATGGTTCAGCATCTCTGGGCATAACACTACACAGGGCTCAGTTAACTGACAAGAAAGAGCAGCTTCTTGACTTCAAGTTCATGGGTAGTACATTTGTTGTCATAGCTACTTTCACCTCACTAATTCATGCATTCTGGTTATGCTGTCCCCTTCCTTTTTGACAGGCTGAGCCATATATGGTCATCATTTATGAACACCTGAAACAGTACAGTTCAGTTTGTTGTTCTAAAATGTAAGATCAGCGGTAGTGGGATTTTACAATGGCAATTTTGGTAACACTTTATTTCGATAGTCCACTTTAGACATTCTATTAACAGTAAGTAACTTTGCAACTACATGTCAACTAGCAGTTAGTAGAGTATTAGTAGACTGTCTGCTTAATATCTTCTAACACTTTCTTTGTCAACTTATTATACTAACCCTAAACCTACCCTAACAGTCTACTCTGAGAGTTAGTAGACATGTAGTTGCAAATTAATGAGAATTAGTTGACATGTAGTTGACATGTAGTTACAAAGTTACTTATAGTTAACAGAATGTCTAAAGTGGACTATCGAAATAAAGTGTAACCATTTATTTTGACACAATGCAATTTTGGCCATTTATTACTTATACTACATTCAAACAGCAGCATTGATATTGGTGCATCCCTAGTTTAGTTGCACCCATTTGCAGTATTATTTATATAGTATTATTTATTAATATAAAAAAAAAAAGTTTTTTATTTTGAGTACATTTTATGTGCTTTTTATTTCTATTTATTTACTTTTTTTATATTCCTTTTTAGTTTTTCCTTTTATTAATTTCCATTTACTTTTAGTAATTTTAATACTTTTAGTTAGGTTGCATCAAACTTGAGCATCATTTAAGGAACCGTTAATGTATTCTATTTATAGATGCATATTAACATTAGAATAATCTGTGTCAAGCGTGTTTGATAAGGTGGGTTGTTTGGGGTGTGTGTACAGTAGTTTTGTCCAATGCCCTCTCCCTGACCTCTTCTACAATGCTTATTTGTATTGAGTTTGTAGATTGAGTATATTGAGCACGGAAATGTCTATTAGCGTCTGTGAATGTTTGGCCTCGAGAGCTGATCGGTGTGTGTGTGTGTGTGTGTGTTTATTCATTCCAGAGAGGTTACTTTACAATTGTGAAGGGTTTCAGATTGAAGCAAATGTGAATATATGTGTGTTTTTGCTGAATGACCAGTGGTTTAAAAAGACCATTCATACAACCATATTAAAGTGATGAGGTAATTAAATGGCTGGACTAATTGCCATCCTGAAGAGAAAAAAAAAAACAATACAAGAAGCCCTTTCATAAGGTTAAGGAGTTATATTACTGCTTCTGACATTGTGCTTACAAAAAAATCAATCTCTCTCTCTCTCGCTTGTTTTTTTTTTCCCCCTCACACTTTCTCACACCCCCACACACATGCTGGTGGTAATTCTGCTTGACATGCTTACGGCCATATGCTTTACATCACCGAGAGCCTCTGTGATTGTGGCCTCTCAGTGGTTTTCATTGCTACGAGAATATTTGAAACCCATCAGTGAGACACTAACAAGGCATACGATGTCTGTTTAGATTAGGGTTGAAGTGGCACATGATTTAAGACCATCTTTCCTTCATCAATTCTCAGTTTCACTGATACTGGTCTAAGATCAGCCCACACACTGTCAACACTGTCACATAAAGTTAATCAGCCACTGTCAGAAAAGATCATGGATTACAGTGCTTTACACAAGGACAACAAGGACAGAATTTCCATACGATATACCAAAATCCAGTGGCATTCCTGGGATCAGATAAGGACCACAGATCATTTGGGAGTTTCTGTCATGTTTCATTATAAGGACACATGTATGTGGTTAGGCCTTCTCCTTCATGGACACATACTGTATAGTGATCCACTACACATTTTTTTTTTTTTTTTGGTAAAGGAATATTTCTTTACATTTTAAGTACAGCTATGCACTTTCTGCTGGAATATTTGTAAAACAGTTGCAAACTGGTATTTAATTATGGCAAAACAGTTTTTGCTCCATCACCATCCACATACAATCATAAACATCTAGTCTTTCAGATGAGAAGAAACATGTATATTCAAGGTTGAAAACAGTTGTGCTGCTTAATATTTTACTGGAAACAGTGATACATTTTTTTTTCAGGATTATTTGATGAATAGAAAATTCAAAAGACCAACTTTATTTGAAATAAAAATCTTTTGTAACAATATAAATGTATTTACTGTCACCTAAAGTGTCATTGCTGAATTAGAATATTAATTTCTTTAAATAGAAATATCTGATCCCAAACTGTAATATAATTTGGATTTAGGCAACATTTAGAAAACTGTATTGAAACCAAAATTAATGATCACATGGGTTCCCACTAAAACTGGGACTGTCACTGTATTGTATTAATTTAGTGTAATTGATAAGAAAATAATAATGTGATTAAAGACTTTTTGCAATTAATCATTCCCCCTGACCCTTGTAATATAATGTCTTAGTATTAAGAGGTTTACATGTTTTTACACACTTAAAGCAGGAAAAAAAAATGTTTCCGTTACAGTAGTGTCGGTATTGCACATGACTTTCATTTCCATCCTGTTCTGTATCACATCAATTTTAGAAGATTATTATATTGGACATGAACACATGTAACTACTTTTGCTATTAGTGCTCAACTATTCAGAAAACAATGCAGTGTTTCAGAAACTGCTCTAATATAATCATTTGCAAAGCCCCATGCTTGAATGAACACACTGTGAACTTAAACTCTTGTCCTGCACAAAGACACTCTGTGTTACCATGTTTTTTTTTCTCCTTCACAGCATTCCATGCTTCATTGAATCACAGTGTGTGTGTGTGTGTGTGCGCGCGCGCGTGTGTGTGTGTTAGAGTGGACTGTGGACCCCCTGTCCTGAAGGAGACAGTCTGTAATTAGTTTAATGGTTTTAATGGGGAGCTCATTGGCAGTAATCAAAGTTAAACTGTTTGCACATTTTTAGCCTAAACTCTGCTCTCTAATCTGCTGACCTGGAGAATGCTTCACAGGTCATTGGGCTGTGTGTGTGTGTGTGTGTGTCAAATTAGTTTTTGTTTTTTTTTGCCTCCGAATTTGACTCTTTACAGCATTTCCTTAGCCACGCTGAGGCAAATTCACTTCAGGGATGCACTGGTATTAAACTTCTGGTTGATATTGATGAATAATTATTTTTGTGTATTGACTGATAAAGTTATTTCAAATTCAGGCATCACAACATCATAATGTACAGTATTAAATTTCATAGTCATTTTAAAAAGAGCTAAACATAACAGTAAAGCACAGCCAACTTTTATTATTTTCATACAAATTATAATTACGGGGCAGATTTTATATTTAAAAAAATGTGATTGCTTGCACAGTATTATGTTATGACCTCAAAACACTTTTGCCATAGTGCATGATTTGTAAACTTATATATTTTGATGTTTTGCATCATGATGTTGAAGTAAACTTGCTCGGTACCGCACCTAGTATAGTATTGCAAAAATGCCAAGCACTCTGGTACGAGCCCTGTGAAACACGAGTCAAAATAAAAAAGCACAAGAAGGAATAAGCTAAAAGGCATGCAAAAATGGATTTACGTTAATCTGTTTTGGATAAAACTGAACATGCTATTAGCTCCACTCACTGGACATTCCATTTTATTGAAATCGTGAAAATTGCAAGAATCAATAAAATATAATTTTCCATAAATTTCATCTAGAGGCATGTTTTTTTTTTCTCAATAAGCCAGAGTTGGATAAACATCATGCTTACATGTTATTAAATTATTTTCTATTAATGTTTTTAAAGATTACCTTGGAGTGTTAGATCTCATTGTATCTACTTGTACTGTAATAATAGCAATGAGGAATTCAAATTTTAAAGATTCAGTATCAGTCATTATATATTCAATATTTGACCTTAAAGGGGTCATATGATGCAATTTACATTTTTCATTTCTCTTTGAAGTGTTACAATCTCTTGGTGCATAAAGAAGATATGTAAAGTTGCAAAGACTA